GTGTGTGTGTGTGTGTGTGTGTGTGTGTGTGTGTGTGTGTGTGTGTGCGCGTGTGTGTACTCACAGTGAACAGTTAGCTGGACGGAAGCGTTGGTCATGCCCACGATGTTGGTGGCAGTGCAGGTCAGCAGGAAGTTGTTGTCTTCTCGACTCACATTGACCAGCGTTATGTTGATGGAGTGGATGCTGTTGTTGTCGTAGACTCTGGCCTGGAAGGGATGAGAGGACAGAACGTGCACGATTGTACGAGTGTAGAATGGCAACAAGGACGTAGCCCCACTGTTAACCCTGCACTCACAGCATTTGAATTGCTTACATTAGCTACTTTTACAGTGTTTCTTATATTGATTGGTTCGTCAATATGGGAACACAAACCAACTGTGTGTGTTTAAGTGTTGATATTGGATTTTATGAACTGTAGTGACTATCGCTTGGCTGTTGTTTCAGAACAATCGACAGCACATATACGTGCATGTGTGGATGCAGAGCTGTCTGTAGGGCTGAAAACAGAACGACACGCACAGTTTTGTTAGCTTAACTTGCTTTTCATGGTTGTAAGTGGAACTTTTGGCCCTAATTCCATTTCCATTAGAGAATTGTTCATGAATTATAAAATGTATCTAGCTAGCGCTCTGATAGTGATGACTGAGACTGGCAGTTGAATCAGGCTCTTGAAGCGGGGGACACCCCGAGACCGGTTCATATTCAGTAGACAGTGTCTCTGTAGTAACAATAGCACTGTATGGAAGTCGAGATGGTGGAAGTCATGGATGCAATGGAAGACAAAACTGCTATTCTGTCCTCCATGATCTCACGCTCTAACGAGCTGAAGCGCATTAATAATATAAGACCTTGACACTTACTGTACCATGTGTGGTTCTGCTGAAAAGCGTGTCAATGATTGATGTCGACAGACACGGTTACTGCCAGCAGCTTGCGAGTATCACATGTAAAATACAACACAACACAAGTCTGGCTGGGTGTTTGCCTTGGTGTGTGCGTGTGTCCTCCTTTACCTCTTGCGCATTTATGGAGTGCAAGCCATTCACGGGCCAGTCCACCTCGGGTAACGGGGATCCAGAGCCATTGCAGATCGCCGTCACTCGGTCACCCTCGACAACAGTGAGGTTGCTGTGGCTGACGCTGATGTCTGGCATGTCTGAGAGACGGAGAGGGAATATATCATTCGATCCATAGCCACAGAAACAATACTTTTTGAGTAATTTCTGAAGATTTAAGGCTCCAGTGGGAACCAGCTAAAAGCCAAAGTCAGTCATTGTTGGTTTTGCTTTCATTTTGGGTGTGATTTATTCAAAAATGATTTAATCAGCTCCAACACAAAAATCATAATCAGCAGTCAGAATTCCCAGGTATGTGTGTGTGTGTGTGTCTGTCTGTGCACTCTCAACTCACCACAACTGCTAATGTTCATATCCTGCAGCAGTATCTTGGTGTCGCCGTCAGCACAGTACAACTGTTGGCTGCTCAGCCACGCCTCTCCTCTCTGTTGCCATAGCTGCAGCCAGCGGATCTCACAGCCGCAGTCGAACACCACCTCCTCCAAATGGCTGGAGAGAGAAAGAAAGTAATAAGATACATTGAGCATTAGCAGCATTAGCCAGGCGTGATTAATCACATCAGCGCTACGTTCAACCCTTCAAACTGGAAACCTGGGAGGGGGAACGGAGAACGTTCATCACGTCAAACTCCTGAAGAAAGTCACGGCGGGACTGAGCTACCGTGTACCCGAGACCTTCCCTTCGACCCTTGTTAGGTAAAGTGATGGGGGACACCTTCAGCAGGCCCACAGGGACTTCTGTGTATTCATTCTGGTGGAATGAGTCAGCCCAGCAACTATTCTAAAATACAGCTTTCTCATCCGTCATCAGCACACATTTCAGATAGTTTTGGTACCTTCTGACAGCAGAAAATGGTAAAAAAATGACTGAAAGACAACCCACCGTGAAATAAAGATGAATGTACATTTTGACAAGTCTGAGCGCATTCGACGGTATCTCAGCCCTATTTCTCATGATATGCTGCTTGGGCAGAAGCCCCCAGCGTCTGCAGTGCCGGTTGCGTAGTATTTTGAGGCTGCAGGTTTGTGCGTAGTTATCGTTGGGAAATGCTTGCGGTTAACATTGTAACACAAGGTTAACGTCGTGAAGTGGTCACGGTTAGCATTGAAACACGTGGTTAATGTTGTGAAACGTCGCGGTTAACATGTAACACAAGGTTAAAGTCGAGAAGTGGTTACGTCATAGTTCACGCTGTGAAATGGTGGCATTAAGGTTTTAAACAATAAAATAAAGTAGGCTTTAATAAAAATAAATATGCATGTAGAGAAACATAAGCTACGGGCGAAGTGTCACTTGACACAGCGTCATTAGTAAAAAAAAACTTGGGACATGAACAGCGGTCCCCTGAGTAAAGGTCCTGTGTTTGTTGTCTCAACCAGGGAGTGAGAACCAAATTGCACATTAGTCCACAAAAGATTGACACCAGCATGATGAGGCTACTTTCTTTGAAACTTGAAACTGCTACACTTCAATTACATTACATTACAAAACGAGCCCACAGAGTGTCGTCAACATCCTCTCTGCATGTGCAATACTGCAGGATTTGTGCAAGATGCCAAACTACTACAGGGACTGTACACATATGTGCTGATAGGGATCATTTGATGTCTACTTGAAGTACTAAGTCAATGGCTTATTGGTACATTTTCATATTGTAACTTTTGGATATGAAATATTAAACAGCACACATGACATCGACACATAAAGTGCTATTTTCTGCATTTCTACCCTTTTCCAATACTCCACTGCTTGTCAGAAAACTTCACCACATTATCATATCTTCTACAGTGCGGCTGAGAGTGTGACAGAACAACGACACCTCACCGTCTCTAGGATTAATCTATCACCTCGCTGATAGTCAGTGCAGGAAGGTGCCTCGGTAACTCTCCGAGGTAGGTGGGTTTTTTAGTCCTATGTTCACTTTTACTTATATTCCTAGGGGTGGTTGTGAGAGGGCTTGACAGATACGGGCCCTGTGTCTTCCACTATGCATATGCCAAGAGTGACTTCACAATAGATTTTAGAAGGAGGACAAACATTGCTGCACCGGTCTCTATGGGTTGAAGGGTGGAAGTATCTTGAACCTGTGACCCAGCACACCCAGCTGTGATGCAGTCAGGTATTATAGTGCTATCTTACTTCACAGCTACACAGGGTGTGGGAATAAGCATGTTGTCAACACTCGTTGGATGGGTAACCAGGATTAATAAACATGGAGGAATAACTCTTTAAGGTCAGGCAAAGATGGGCTTCATTTAACAATGACAACAAAGTTGGGATTCAAACCACAATCGCCATTGTCAGTGTCACATTAGACGCTTTGTTGACCCATCCAGACACCTAAAGGCCTTTACAAACCGGGCGACGTGACAAAGAAACGAAAATACTCACTAGTATTTCACATTAAAAATATTCATACCAAAAGCTATGCGAATTTGCGACAGCTGCAACACTTAAACATTTGAATAGATCAATGCAGACAGAGGACCAACTGCCAGGATCAGGATCTGGCAGTCCGTCTGAAAAAGACTGTTGGATAGTCTACACTACAGCAAGCTATTCTATTGAGTTGCCTTTCAATGGTAAACAGTTACGCAGTGTAAATGACGAGGGCTTTTAATGTACAAGGTAAGAAAGGAAGGAGGGAATTTGGTCCGGTTTGTCATCTTGGTTCAGACCATAGAGCATCCATGTTGTTGATTTGTACACCTCATGAGTGTAGGTCCGTTCCACAAAACGTGATTGCCTTCATTCGGGGTGCGACAGCTCAAAAAACCTTATTCCGAAAGTATGACACCTTTTTGTGGTGTAATATTAGCATTCTGTGCGAAATGGCATTCTGCCTTTATGAAGAATCAAGTTTATCCAAACAAAGCCTTCAAGCATACAGAAAAAAGCCCAACATGTTACTCCAGCCTACCTTAGCAGCTCACTAATGCTCTGGGAGCCAATGAAGTGATCCTTCATTGGCTCCCAGAGCATTAGTGAGCTGCTCACTGACGATGGTACAGTAACTTTTTGGTACTTTGGTCCAGTTCTCTGGAACAAACCGCATGCCGACCTGAGATCTGTCACAACTGTGTCACATCTGTTCCATTTTATTGATACCTTTCGGAGGGCACATCGAGTTGACCTGTAATGAAATATGCTACACCAATTAAAATGCCATTCTTTCTCCTCCATTTCTCCTGTCTTAGCTCTCCCAACAAACAACGGCAGAAAGAAAGAATCCTCCCAAAAGAGACATCCTTACACATCCCGACCATCATTTTAAAACTTCCATTCAAATTAATTCAAACTGGTGCGTAATGTTGCTGTGGGGCTCTTTCTGTTTCAGCCGTTGATTGCCGGCCTGATTGCCCCATTCTTCCTCTTCCTAGACTGCCTTCTGTCTCTGCTAGGCTGCCTGTTATTAGTAGCAGCTGAGTTTGATATCTGCTGCAATGGCTCTGCACCCCACAGTTTGGGAGCCATTGCATAAGCCATATCCTGCACATAATAAAAGTACTAATACAAAAAAATAACTACATGAATAAATAAAAAGGGAATGTACACTATTCAAACTGGTATTTATAATGTTAGTATAGAGATGAAAGCCACATGCTGTGCAGTTGCTACGGTTAACAGTACCATTACCTTTTTTATGTTCTAATTCAAGCATTGCTTCTTGCGTTTGCAAATTGCATATCATGCACACAAAACTAAAAGCCACTGGAAACCCAAATCCACAATAGCATTCTAGTAATTCAAGGTCTTACATTCATACTGTAAAAGCAAGCATCCAAAAAGTATTAGTACTTAGTTTCAATCCAAATTCAAAATATTATAGACAGCGGTTTCCTGGGTGAAAGTCCTGTCTTTTGTTTTTTCTTTTTTTTCTTTTTTTTCAGTTGCTGTTACACTGAACAAAAAACGCGACAAAACATCGTTAATGACAAAAAACAAACAAACAAATAGACATAAAAGTGAAAAAAAGTAAATTAAAATAAAATAAAAAAGGGGGGTCACCATTCACTCTTAACCATTCACTGAAAGTCCTGTCTTGACCACCCATCCACATCCACATCCACCCTATGCAGACTTCCGTAGATTATAATGAGAAATGTATTCGTGGTTAATGTATAATGTATAAGTGCCCTTCGAAACGTCATTGACAATGCAGTTTTATTGTACGGGAATGTTATTTTGGTCACAATACCATTTAAAGCAGCAAATTCTATCCATGCCAATGAGTTTGTAGTCGGGGGTTTCGTTCGTTTTGGCGCAGTACATCACTTTTTGGCTTCGAGTGCAAGTTTGAAAAACTTTGACCTGTAAATTTGCGCCAATGGCCAACAGCAAGCCATGTTGACAGTGCTAACCTTGGAACTCATCTAGCTCTGCTATATAGATCACTACAGCAGCTACAGAGACTTCCAGGAAAGACCTTCTGTATTTATTTTCAGTTGGATTAAAGACAAGTATTCAATATTATTTCTGTTAAATTGAATTTTTTTGGAAAGCACTCCATGCTCCAATCGACTGCAAAATCTGTTTCCCAAGAACATATGACAATAGCCCCCACGTTGAAAATACCAAAAGTTTACTTTAACAGAGTTTAATCCTGCTAAAGGCTGAGTTTCTGGGTATAGACATTATTTCAGAGCAAAGACAGGGCGTTATTGAGTCCCATTCAGTCCCATCAGACATTTTATTTTTCACCCTTGTATTTTAGTGAACTGATTAACACGCACTCCAAAGCATTCCTCTCTGGCATCTCTTTCCTGTGTTGTCACATACATCATCAGTGGACAGCTATTCCTCCATGATGTCACTCTTCGTGGCTGATGGGAGATTTGTGACACAGCTGTATCTGTGAGATTCATGGAGGTGTGAAGGACGGCGAGTCGGAATGAGGCAGCGTCTTTTCCTTTTTTCCCCCCTCAGTGAAACAAGTCGTTACATACATTTGGATTGATTGTCCCGTTGAAGGGGGAAGAGATTGACGAATAACAGCGTCGGGGCGGTTTACTGGGGACAACTGTAGGTGAAGGATAATTGTGTCGCCATCTACACATGGACACATGTGGTCATACACACTAATGGGATAGGAATAAATACTGTGTGCATGGACACATATGCATGGGGCTTCAATGCTGACAAAAAGCAGGAGATTATGAATGAAAAATGTAACCGAATACATCAATAAATAATTGATAGTTAAAGTTCCAATCTCGTGCGTCCTGTGTGGCATCAGTCGGTTGTGAATGAAGAAAAGGTAATTGTTTATTTTAACAGATGACGCAATGGTAATCTTTGGGGCTCAGTCTCTTCGGGGAGCTTTCTAATGGAAAGGCATCTGCTCTGAGCAGCAGCAGGATGAATCCCCCCCGATGGAGTCCAGACTCTGAGTAAGATGATGGATCTGGGCAGTGATGGGGAGGCGGAGGATCGCTCCCTTCAACCCGACCGGACCGCCGACACAAGATCTGTTTGCCGACTCCAAACCACAAATACTATAATAACTGTGCCCTCTTCAAAAAGTTCAGTTCGGCTGTACGTTTAAAGAGATCATTTTGGGCCATTTCGTAGATGCGAAACAAAGGTAATGGTAACACTTTATAATAACTAATACTTCATAGCGTGTAGTTAAGTATGAGTAAACACTTAATTCATCCTTTATAAAGCATTGTTCCTACATTAACACTCATTAGTATGCAATTCATAACAACAGTTATAAATGTTTTATTCTTGATTAATAAGCCCGTCTATTGTGTTTCATGATTGTGTTTTCATACTTTATAAATGATGGATTCCCCTTTTGTAAATGAAGAATTATATATATTACAAACCAATTATTAAGGAGTTGTAGATGATTAATAACAATTTATAAAGTGTAAGTAAATGATTAAGAACTTATTTAGATGTACTTCATTCATGCATTTATATAATGATTTAGATATGCACTAATGTTAGGGACTATGTTAATATATGCTTTATAAACGCGTATTAATACACGACCAGCATGTTCTTAGTTTTAACCCGAACCGATCTGGAAATAACAGTAAAGGGAAAACCCGTGTAGATCACCCGGCGGGTACCAGCAGGTGTCTCACTAGATGAGTCTGCTTAAGTACATGAACACACTTAAGCCAGAGAGAGAGGCGCAGGTAACACTTTATAATAGGCATCATTAATAAAAGGTAAACTTACAGTAAATAAAATGTAGTAAATTTAGTTCAGTTAGTTCAGTTAATTTACTGTTAAAAAGCAATGACATTATTAATACTATTTACTTATTTATGAATGAATGAAATTTATTTATAGAGCGCTTTTCACAGACATAACATCACAAAGTGCTTTAACAGAGCAGAAATTTAAAAGCATAAAAAACACAATGTGACCCTAGGGTCAATAAATTACATACACAGAGAAAAATAAAATAAAAAATAAAATAATAGAAATTAAAACATTTTAAGAGCAGGTCTAGGACATGGGTTTTTACTCAAACGCCAGTCTAAAAAGGTGGGTTTTGAGCTGTTTTTTAAAAGTATTCACAGTATCTGCGAGGCGCAGAGTTGCAGGCAGAGCATTCCAGAGCCTCGGCGCCACTGCCTCAAAGGCTCGGTCACCACGGGTCTTAAATCGTGTGCGTGGGACTGACAGAAGACCTAGAGCGTTTGACCTGAGAGTGCGGGCGGGTGAATATGGGTGAAGTAGATCAGCTACATAAGTAGGAGCCTGACCGTGAAGTGCTCTGTAAGTGATGGTGAGAATTTTGAAGTGTATCCTAGATGCTATAGGGAGCCAGTGGAGAGATCGGAGTACGGGGGTGATGTGAGACTGTCGATTTGTCCTGGTGAGTAATCTGGCGGCAGCGTTTTGGATTACCTGCAGACGGTTAAGAGCAGATACACTGAGTGATGTGAAAAGTGAGTTACAGTAGTTGATGCGAGAAGAGATAAATGTGTGTATGATCATCTCTAATTCAGGTGTTGATACTACAGATCTCAGTTTACTGATATTTCTTAGATGGAAGAAACATGATCTGGACAGCTGCTTAACATGGGGGTCAAACGACATGGATCGATCGAAGAAGATCCATAGATTGCGCAGGTTGCAATGGGCAGCAGAGGAGAGTGGACCAATACTCTGCCTGATCATGGGGACAAACTCATCTGGAGCAATAGCTAGGACCTCCGTTTTAGAGTCGTTGAGTTGTAGGCTGTTTTCTGCCGTCCAGTCTCTGATGGCATTGACACAGTCCAGGAGCCTAGTTAATGTGAATGCCTCGTTGGGTTTGAATGACAGATGGAGTTGGATATCATCTGCATATAAATGATAGGACACATTATAAGTTTTTATAATCGGTCCCAAAGGTAACAGATAAAGGGAAAATAACAGAGGCCCCAGAACCGAGCCCTGCGGTACGCCACAAGACAGTGGAGCGGTAACAGACACAAAATCAGCCACAGAGACATTGAAACTTCTGTCATTGAGGTAAGACGTGAACCAGTCTAACGCTATGCCAGATATGCCAAGCCAATCATGTAGCCTCTTAATCAGGATGCTATGGTCTACAGTGTCAAATGCAGAACTGAGGTCCAGAAGAACTAGCACAGAGCAGTCACCTGCATCAGAACACATGAGAATGTCATTTGAAACCCTCAGGAGAGTGTTGTCTGCAAAACCCAGACTGGAATTCGTCGTACATGTTGTGCCTCTCCAGTGCAGCAGTAAGTTGTTTGGCCACTACTTTCTCTAAGATTTAGGACAGGAAAGGCAGTTTTGATATGGGCCTGTAGTTCATGGGCAAAGCTGGATCTAAGTTTGGTTTCTTTAATATGGGCTGGATAGTGGCATGTTTAAAATAGGACGGGACACCTCCTGTAGACAATGAGGAATTGACAATAGATGTTACTGCAGGGCCAATAATTA